GTCAGATGTTAATTCTCCAACTGTATCTAGTGTTGATAGTGACTGGTATTTTTCAATAAATATACAGATGGATTGTGATGCAAATTTAAATGTAATCAATGTAGTTGCTAGATGGCCTGGTTACTCCCACAATAGTCATGTATTTGATAATTCTCTGATAAGAGCTCAGTTTGAAAACAATGAGTTTTGTGAAACATATTTACTGGGTGATAGTGGTTATCCATGCCGAAAATATATTTTAACTCCCTTACATGATCCACAAATGCCAGCCGAAAGGAAATACAATTATACACATATCCGCACACAGAATACAATTGAAAGAATGTTTGGTGTCTTAAAGAGAAGGTTTCCTTGTTTGTCTACAGGACCAATGGAATAGAAGCACCACTAAATTGATAGAAATAAAATCTTCCGTCCTTCCATGATACTTCAGGCCTTCAAAGCGACAACATCAAATCCCAATAAGAAGTCTCAGATTAGGACACACCTCTACAACACATGAATACTTGTTGAAGAGAGAACAGTGTGTTATGTTTGTGAATATAAAGTGACAATGAAGCACATACAGTTGAAAGACTATATCACCTCATTCCAAAATGTAAAGAGTGTCTAGTCAGTGTAAATAGAGCTATTCCAATTATAGTGGCAATTTGTGTATTGCATAATATATGTAGAAGGAGGAATGATGTGCTGACTGATAGTGAAGATGGCAGTAATCACGCTGAGTCAGAAGATAAAAATTTAAACAATGTCACTAAAAATCAAGATAATTTTGCTGTAAGAAATGCTGTCATTCGTACTGCATTTATTAATTAAATAAAATGTTTATTTTAAAATTATTTATGGTTCAATAAAACATAATATAAGAATTATGAGTGTTATAATTATTGTATATGTATTTTTAATTTAACAAAAAAAGTGTTGACAATTCAAATAGTCACAGAAATAAAATTAACTTAATTGTGTCAACTTTTTCTTATTAAACTCTGGTAATAAATCTACGACACAAACTAAATATAACACCAGTAAATTAATGAATATGATATTTATGATACTATAATGAACATGTATTTTTATTACAGAATTTTTCTTAATAAATAAATACATACTTATAAGAAAGTGTTTATACCCACTTTTAACAGATAACTTTGTGAAAAATAGGCAAAATGTTACGGGATCTATTAGTATTTCATTTGTTTATAATATTCTCAAGCAATATATTGTCATTTCAAGGAAGTCATGAAAATAAGACCATATCAGCAAGTAGATACATAATCCTTTCATTTTACGGTATTTGAAAAACAAAGTATGTACATATATTTCAGTTTTTTGTGTTTATTATTATTCTTGAGTAAAGTGTTTGATTTTAAGACGGCAAAACGGAATTTGTGTTGTGGAAATATTAGATGAAATAAGCATTCCTTAACTTTTCCAGAGGACACAGCAAGGTTTGTAAATTATTATTTCCTCTTAAATATTGCTTGGGTACCAGTATATGATGTCGTTTATATGATACTTCTACAATAATAAGATAACCAATTTTTATTTTAATAACTATTTTACAATAATATAAAATTAACCAAACGGTATTAAATTTCTAAATTCTCGAACTCAACCCCATATTGATGTTTCAGTTGTAGAATCTTTTCTTTAACTGCCAACTCTTTTGTGTCTGTTTCTCTTTTCTCTGTTTCCATTTCTGTTTTTCTAATTTTAAAATGTCTCTACTTAACTCTTCCTTTTCTTTTCTAATTTTAAGAATATTTAATTTTATTTTTTCCTTCTCTGAATCTTCTTCACACTTATTATTCTTTTTGTGATGTGGCACTTAAAGGCAAACTAAATGCACGACCAAATACTTACCATGTCGAGATAGCATTATGAGGTTTTTTCCTGGTTTTTCCCTCATAATTTACTATGGAATCACTAACAGGAGAATTTTACTGTCATCATGGCATGTGTTTGTCTTTTTAAAGATGAATTACATGCTATGATTTTTTTCTGACAGATATTCTCAAGTTAATGTTGATTTCATGTAATCAAATGAACTATCTTATAAGTAAAGTCGTTCCAGGAGCGCAACTCAACAATATTGGCAATATCATTTTAAAGTCGTCTACTTTAAAATGCATAATGTATGTCTGAATTGTCAATATAAATGAGTCAGATAAAATTAAATTATTAGAAGAATTTTTCACTAAGTAACAAAAAAACAAAATTTGTTTTTAGTGTTTGTATTTTGAGAACAATTTCTGAAGTGGAAATTGAAATGTCAATAAACATATTTTAACCTTTAATTGGGGCTTATTCCCAGTTAAATAGTAATTAATTTAAAATGCCACAAGAAAATAGCTTTAGAACAACATTAATTACATATGTTTTACCTTTCTTTTACTGCTTGGCATTCTGCAGGGGTGACAAGAAATTTAACATATCTTGGCAACAGATGTTCTACCATCGCATCAGTTACTTCTGTCAATACTTTACTAAAAGTGGACCTTTCCATGGTAAAAAAAATAAAATATAGTATATAATAAAATAAAAAGTAAATAAAATATAACATATTGGAATATATTCACTCAATTCTTAATATAAACAACATATCTTGGTTTCATGTGCTAAAGCATTTGATCTTTGCACTTGTCTTAGATGGGGCTGGAGACTTTCGAACCAAATGCAAAGACAATTCCCTCGATAACTTAAATATCTTTTGAAATACGGCTTCCACTAATTCAACAGGATTTACCAAATCTCGCAAAAGTCTTCTCATCCTAGTGTTTTCTTCATCCCTATCAATAAAATAATTTTGTTTACAAAAACATAACCTAAATAAATAATATACTATAATTAAAAATATCTTTAACAAACCTAATAGCATCATCTAATTCTTCTAATAACTCATCGTTTAGAATCCGGCCAAAATTCTGGACTAAATTGTTCATTTTATATTTTTATTAACTACACGTTATTCCCATCTACAAATAGTAGTAGTATGAGATTAAATCATCTCTTTAAATTGAACCTGTTATCAGAGAATATAATATATTATGTTAGCAAGATAACGTAAAACGTTACCACATAACGTTTTTTTTACAAACGTTATCTGTGATACATCACATCAATTTTTAGAATATATCGTAAATGCAGGTTAACGTGCACGTTATTTACCATTTATTTTATTTATAAAACATTTTTGTTTTGATACATCCATCCAATCACAGGGCTGAATGTTAAGATTCAAATTACGTCACAAGAGTACAGTCCGGCTTAATGTTCATTGGTTAGGCGGAAGAGGCAACCGTAGTAAGTCTAGGAACCGTGGGTGCGAACGGTGGTCAAGAATACCATTTTTAGGAAATGTTCGCAAATCAATCCTTCGCAACTTGCGTATACGCGCTAATTGCGAGTGATGTCGAGAATAGCGAGCCAGCCTGTATCATATTCCCAGCATTTTTAAAGAAAATAAAGACTGTCTTTAAAATTTGACGCATTGTTTCTTTACAATTTGAAGAAATTAATGTCACTTTTGCCTTAATATTATTGTGCAATTAACAGATTAATTTACAGGGCATACCTTGATTTGTAGAGAACAAGTTTTCAAACCGAATTGTATATATTAAAAAAAGTTAAGTTTTTATTAAAAAAAGAGGAATAATAATGTTGTTCCTTAGACATTTTTGATTTGTTCTGAAGCTATTTTCTTGTGGCATTGTAAATTAATTACTATTTATAACTGGGAATAAGCCACAATTAAAGATAAAAATACGTTTATTGACGTTTCAATTTCCAATTCGGAAATCGTTCTCAAAATACAAACAGTAAATTGAAATTACTGTTTGTATTTTGAGAACGATTTCCGAATTGGAAATTGAAACGTCAATAAACGTATTTTTATCTTTAATTGTGGCTTATTCCCAGTTATAAATAGTAATTACATTTTTGATTAATATAAAGCTTCTCACTAGTCTACAGTCCCGCATACTGAACCTTTTTTTGTTCTGATGCGTTTTTCTCTAATTTTCCCGAAAATTTTCACCCGTCAGACAGGAGAATCGGAAAACAAGTTCCGTCAGACAATGACAATATGAAAAGTTATTTTGGCAGCTCTTAATGAAAGTATTCTAAAAAATTAGCTTGTTATCTATGAATTTCGTCACAGTCGTTTTTCCGGCATTTTCGAGTCGTTAGACGCGTTGAACGACGAGTATTTATCATAAACTTTTTTGCCGACGGGTACTCTAATTATTATACAAGTGTATGAAGGGAACATAGAATTTTCTCATAGCAACAGTAGTTTATGGAGAAGCAGCTTTACTCTACTGAAAGTTTGCCTGTAGGACCCTGATTGGGATCGTTAAGATCTATATTATTTGTCGACACAGAATAGTCACTCATTTCTGAGTCCTACTCCGAGCCATTCGTTTTTTTCTCGGCTCCATTCTATTCCCATAAGTTGGGACGATTACTATAAGGCACGGCCGTACCGATTATTATCTTAATAGTTTGCCAGCTCTCTGGGACATTACTTAGGCAACAGTTTTTCTTCTGTGTCTCGGTAGTCGCAGCACAAATCTCACTACATAATGAATCAGTTGTGGTGCGTCTGTCTGGTGATTTGGTGTACGTGTGCCTGTATGTGTCTGTATTTTGTGTTTGAACATATATGTATCTCCGTCTGTGTATGTGTGAGTATCTGTTTGTGTCATGTTAAATCAACAAAATAAGTAATGAGATAGTTGCAGCCACTGAATATATCGTGTTCTCGATTGATCGTTAGTTGTTTATTTGGTTATACCTTATTCACACTTGTTCTATTGTCCTCTTAGTCTATAGGACATTCTCTATGGCCATTGGGACGCGCTGTGTCGGTGATGAGAACTTCTCCAGTTAGTCTGTCCTGCGTGGAGTTCTGGAAACCTCAGACTCACAGTCTCAGACCAACATGGCAGTTTTTTATCTTAAACTTATGAACAAAAACCGTTAACATTTGTTGTTTTTAGTTATTGCATGTATGTTTTGGTACGGCTCAACCAACATGTGATGTCCGCACAAAGCTCATTCCTTAGCAACACATTTGGCTCATTGCTTATCGAAGTCAAAAGGTCTTTGGATCAATTTATGCAGCAACAGATCGAATCGATTAAAGAATGTAGAATATCGAAGAAATCAAAATGTGGAATACTACCCTACGTACTCAATTTAGAAATATTCGCCAAAAATGCTAACTGTCTCTTGAAAAGTGACCGTGCAGCAGATCTCGAGAAATGGTACACTCGGTTGGTTGATACCATGTTGGAATATATCGCAGTGCATGCGATTGATCATAAAACGCCTCCACAGGTTATTAAAATGGGTAAGTGAAACATACTTTTGGTACTATAAGAAAAATCTTGACTTGATATTATATATAAAATATTGCAAGTAGTAAGTATGACAAAGTTTGTTTTGAGACAATGGTTAGGTTGTAACTGCGGTTAGTAAAAATAGAATATTTTTGACTGTCTTTATTCGGACGTTGAAAGTAAAACAAAAGCTTAAAATAGCGTACTTCTTAGTAATGTAGAATAAGCGGAAAGAGAGTCACATTTTGAGCGGCTATGAAATAGAAAAGTCCCTAAAACTTCTTTCTGTTGCGCTGAAACAACAGAAAAAGGAGTGAAGAATGTCATAAAGACTTCTTCGTAACACTTACTTACTTTCCTGTGGCGTTACACATCATATTTTGTTTGCCGTTTACCACATCCTAATCGCCATTTCTTCTTGTCATATATATCTTCTTAAGTGAGGTCTCTTTTTCCATTGCCGTTTTTATTTGTCCTTTCCACCTTAATCTAGGACGTCCTCTTTTCCTCCTTTGGTTTGATTTTCATTTTCAAGTTCTCAGCGGTATTCTTGTCTTGTTCATCCTTCGCACCTGTTCATAAACTTTCGTTCTTTTATTTCATCATTTAGTGCCTTCTTCACATTTTTTATCATCATGATCGTCTTTGGCTGACAATCCTTTGTCGATTCTGGCCTGCTCTAAGATTCGTCAACATTCTGTTCGGTTTGTGGCAACCTGTTGTCGTCTTCTGATTTTTAATATCCCGTCAGTCAATTTCAAGTTCGTCTTACCAAATAATTCGCGGTCGGCCTCTGCTGTTCTTCCTAGAGGTGTTACTGTGGTTAGTCTTTTAGCAATAGTATTGTCTGGCATTCGTATTTTGTGTCCAGTCCATCTAAGTCGCTGTGTTTTAATGAACGTTAAGAGTTGGTATAATTCTAAATTATATTTTTTGAGCCACTGCCCTTGGTCGTTTATAGCTCCAAATATTTTGGAACTACACATTCATTACCTTTAATTCGAACTCATTTTCAATTCCATTAGCGAAAATCTGCAGTTTCTTCTCCAAAACATTTTCATTGCATTTATTCGATTTTCCATTCTTTTATTTATCACCCACGTCTATGAGCCATATAGTGAGCAGCTTTCCCCTATTGTTTTAAATATTTTATGTTTAATTTAGCTTTTAATATCGTATCTCCTTATAATCGAGAGTAATTGTCGTGTTATTGTTTTTCCTTCCTTTATTTTATTTATTATATCTGTTTCTTTTGATACTGTATTTGGTAAAGTTACTCTAAGTATGTATATTTATTTGTTTGTTTTATGGAGTTGTTATTTACTCCATGTCTTCTGCGGTGTTTCCAATCATCTTGCCCCATCTTCCAAACTCTTCTTCCAGCAATTTTATCATATATACGATGTCGTCTTTGTCTTCAGCTAAAATTATTTAATATTCTTCGAAACAGCGAATGATATAAAAAGAAAAGAAAGTCACGGATACATTTTCTAATGCCTTTGAAACAAACAGAAAAGTGTGAGATGTCATGAAATCTTCTTCGTGGCGACATAGAACAAAACAAGAGAGATTTTATATATTTATTATATATTACCTATTCGCGATACCTTTTATCCCTAGCGAACGAACATTTTCTTTTTTTCGGTATGGTCAAAAGATGGATCCTGTCGTCGAAAGAGAACCGTTTACAATCCAATAATGTGAAATATACCATTAACAGTATGTGTTACTGATATATTTAAAAATTTGTCAGCCTTTATCGCTAGGTGGGGTCGGCTTCCCTAATTACATTTCTCCATAAGTTACTGTTACGGCCATCGTACCACGCAAACAAGTGTACATATCATGTGTGTGGGTGCTGAGGCAATACAAATGTTTGTTACCTCTCAAGATAAAAAAACAAAAAAGACTATCAATGGCTTTACAAAAATAAGCTATGGTAACTACATGTATCCCTTACAGACATAAAGATCGCCGTTAATTGCATTACAATTACGCCGATAAAGATCGTAATTATTATTTTTTTTGTTACTTCACTCATCCATCTGCGCATTCTCATTCCTACCACGGGCATTGGTTGTCTCTCTATTTTTTTAACTATCCAGCATTCAGTTCTGTACATCATATCTGGTCTTAGGGCAGTTTTATAGAATGTTCCCTTCAGTTTCATTGGAATCTTTTTGACATACACCCCACCACTCGCCTCTTCTTTCCTCTTCGTCCATCCCACTCTGTAATATTTCCCTATTTCTCTATAATACCGATCCTAGGTCCTTAAAAATATTACTCTTCAGAATCAGTTCACCATCCACGGTTATTATTTTATTTGCAGTAATTCTTTAAATGAACATTCCAAATGCTACGTTTTCGTCCTAATCTACGTTCCACGTTTAGAAAATAACATTGCGGAGATTGGGCCATGTATTTCTTATGGACGATAGCAACGCGGCGTTGCCACGACACACACAAGCACAATTTAGGGTTGTATAATTTGTATTTTTGTTTCCACAAACATGAATTAAATTAATGTTTTTTAACGTAATTGACCAAAAGTGCCCATTCGAAACAAGAGATGAAAAGTAGGGAAAATGATTTTAATTAGATAAATAGTATTTACAAAAGATAATTTTATTTTATCTTATTTTAATTATAGTAACGACAGTTTATTTGTTTTTCGGTGAGAATACGATATGCCATGAATCATAGAAATCAGTAGAAAATATTGACCGCTTGGAATGCGTATATCTAATTACTAATTGCAACTTAAAATAATACGATTTGCGTATGTCAGCTATTTTATGTCGTTCTCTGACTACATAATGATAATAAGGCTTTTATTTAGAAGTTATTCTGACTTTACTGTTAAATGTTAATTGAAAATGAAAATTCAAAAATTAAGCAAAGGAAATATCTTGGACATCCGTGCAAAAGAGAGTGTCTGAGAGTTTTGGCAACACTGATCTCCATAAGCGTAATGTTATTTTCTTAACTTGAAACAAAGAATACCAAGTTTTAAACCTTTTTCCTCAAGATCTTGTCTCCACTGTTACAGTTTTTGTTCTAAATCCCTTTCACTATTTCCTACTGGAACTACATATTCAGCATACATTAAGCACCAGGGAATGCTATCCTGTAATTTCGCTCTTATCTGATCGAACACTAATTAATTAGAATATAAATGTACTAAGCATCGAGATCTGGTGTAATCCTACTTTCACATGAAATTTATCAATCTCTCCTACACCTGTTTTAACACTAGTTGTTACTCCCTCATATTCGTCCCTCACAATCTCCACATATTAACCGGGATATTATTTCTTATTGAGAGCCCACCACAGGTAATAAGCAGGTAATGTAATTATGTGTGCGTCGTATTCTTTAAATAAATGTATTAAAGGCTATTAAAATGCCTTAATAATAATTATTTATTGCAACCTATCACTATTTTTACGTTGATCGCCATTTTTGTGCAATTTCGAGCTAATGTGATCAGCAATAGTGGCACAATATTACAATCCATATTTGGATTTTCAACAACACAGACATATTTGTTAATAATTAATATTCTTTTTAGCTTTCTGTCGTCCATTTTTGGACATCTTCCCAACTTCTTCCATCGATCTCTATCCTGAGCAACATACTTGCAATAATTAATATGCTAGTTTCAAATTTGTATAACTTAGAATCATCATCATCAATCAGCCAATCGCGTCCACTGCTGGACATAGGCCTCCCTCAATTCTTTCCAGTGTTCTCTACACTGGGCCGCTTGTAGCCAGTTTCCCGCTACACGTTTAATGTCATCGGTCCATCTAGTCGGTGGTCGTCCTCGGCTTCTTTTATAATTTCTGGGCCTCCATTCCATAATACGTCTTGTCCACCGTCCATCTTGTGTTCTGGCTAAGTGCCCTGCCCAGTTCCACTTAAGCGTCGTGGTTCTTTCGATGACGTCTTGAACTCCTGATCTTCGTCTGATTTGTTGGTTTGTTATGTGGTCTCGAAGGCTCACGTTCAGCATTGCACGTTCCATGGCTCGTTGTGTAACTCTAAGTTTATTCGCAGATTTTTGCGTGAGTGTTAAAGTCTCTGCTCCATAAGTTTGTACAGGTAAAACACATTGGTTATAAACCTTTCGCTTGAGACACATGGGAATTGAACTTTTTAGAATATGGCTTAATTTGCCAAATGCTGCCCATGTTAGACCTATTCGCCTCTGTATTTCATGTGTTTGATTGTCTCTGCTTATTTTGATTTCGTGTCCCAGATATTTGTAAGTGTCTGTTTGTTGTATGGTATTATTGTCAATAGTTATATTTCCACTCATTACGAGATTTGTTATAATTTTAGTTTTCTCAAAGTTTATCTTTAATCCTGCTCTTTCAGACAGACTTTTAAGCGAATGCATCATAGTAACTGTATCATGTAAGTTATCTGCGATTAATACAACATCATCTGCAAACCTTAGGTGATTTAATCTTTCTCCATCTATATTGATGCCCATATCTTGCCATTGAGTACCCTTAAATATTGACTCTAGAATACTAGTTGAACTAGAAAACTTAGAATACTAGTTGATAAAACAACCTAAATTTGCCTCAGTCTCTCTCTCTCTCTCCCTTTTTTCTCTTCCTAACTCCAACTTTTCCGTAGCCTTTCTTTTGATCTTGCGTCTTGCATTTTACTATCAAGGGTTCTTTTCGGCAATATGGTGCTCTTTATTCTCATCACATGACACATGATGCTGATGTCATCGGCATAGGCGGCGATCTGTATTGATTTAAATTACTATCCCCGAAATAAAAATATCATTACATTTAATTTGTCGAAATAATCTAATGTTACATAGTAAAGAATATCTTCAATTTGACTTTGACTTTTTGACAATTAATTTATTTTAGAAAATTATCATCATCTGTATTCGCTATTGTCACAATTGAAAATCTCAGTTTTGGATAGTCAACGAAAGGAAGCCAAACAAAAGTATAATGATGCTCTCACTGCTTATGTCACCTTATATTTTGGAAGACCATTGGAAAAATTGAATGTAAGTTGTCTACTATGTATTTGTAAATTTAAAACTATTTTATATATACTCAGTAAAGCTACTACATAATCTAAGCTCTAATGCGAAAATAACATGTCGAAATGTAACATTGGCATACAAGATGGTATTAAAGGAACGTGGATAAAAGCTTTTAAGACCGTATAAACAACATATTTCGTAAAAAGGTTTTTGTAGATATGTGACTTAGTTGACGTAAATGTACTTCCAAAGTTTATTGCCATTTTTGAATAGGTACACTGAATAAATCATCATCAAATAGTACCATAGTCCCTCATGATCCATTCAATTGATACTGTAAAAACTCAGGAATCGATAAGTCTCAAAACATTTCAACAGAAATTATTGGACAAAATTTTACTCATTTAGAAATATTAATCAAGTCCAGTGTGTAAATCTCGTTAAAAATCTAAAAATTATATTTTTGTCCCCAAAAAGGAGACAAATGTAAACAAATATCACTTAAAAAAGTCAGGAATCACTTTCCATTGCATCATTTATTGAACCAGCAAAGGTATTAATATTGAAGAAACAAGGATGGTAATGAAGAATTAGTCAGCTTTTGGTGCAAAAACATACACGGGCTTATTTAAATATTGACATAAATATATTCAAAATTCGAAGAAAGAGAGTATCAACATGACCGAAGGTATTTCAAAGTAAAATAAAACGAGATGTGGCACCCCAAGCGGCACCAAAGCACCCAAGAGGGAAAGCATAGCTTTCTTATCGTGTCTACGCACGGAGCGACGATGGTTTTTATTTAATCTTATCTAATTTATTTTATATTATATTATTTTATTTTATCTTATTTTATTAAGAAACACGCAAGGGACTGCGTTTACTACTCCACGTAGTTGGGGTCGCGCGATATATCGTTACATTGCGTTTCAGTTGTTTTTATTTTTTCATACCTCTGCGCGATCCACCGCACCGATCAATGTATTCCGTCCGTAGCCCGCGATAAGAAAGCTATGCTTTCAAAAACTATTAACTAATGGAAACAATAAATTACAAGTTAATCCAGAGTTACATATGAATTCAGCAAGTTCTCAAAAACGTAGGACTCATGATCAGGGGTGTACTGAAGAAAGAACCCCTCAGAATGTAGTTTGCCTGCGACACCTTTATAAATTTCTGACATATTGTTGAAGACTGTCCACTGTTTAAAATTGAGAGTCATGAAAGCAGTATATATTGTGAATTGAAACGCGTGTTAATTGGTGAAAATAAGTTTCTGAAAGTAATCGTTCTATACAAATTCACATAAATGTATCATCATCAGTGGTGCTACAGCGTTAATTGAGCCTCAACCTTCCCCAGTCTATTTCGCCAGTCGTTTCTGTTCATCGCCAACCGTTGTCAGTTTGCTGCACTTAAATGTATATGTATTGTTAAATTTAGTGTCAACCCCCTCTGTGGCTCAGTGGTAAGAGCGCCTGCCTTTAAATCTAAAGGTAGTGAGTTCGAATCCCACCTGGGTGGAAATTTTCGTTTATTAAAAAAAAATTAATAAATAAAAATAATTTCTATCCTTGTGTGATCGGTACACACCGGAGGGACCGCAGAAGTTCGGATACAATTAGCGTCTCTTAGCAAAGACAATGACGTCGACTTTGCTAAGTATCAAGACAATTACTCTACACACACACAAACACACACACACACACACACACACACTACATTAATAAACTTATCTTGATTGAGACTGGCTAAATGACAATTGTCCAAGCCAAAACACACACACAAAAAAAAAATTTAGTGTCTCATAAAGAAAAATAATTTTGTAAAGAATATTGTATAATGCATATTTTATAACTCAAAATACAATTTTGAATATCTTATAAGCTACCACTAATAGCGTATTGTGACGTTTTCCTGCCGGTTCAGGAATCAAGTGAAGTAAACTAAATAATTGTAATTACATTGTAATTCAATTTGGGTCTAGCAATGAGCTCTAGTGTATTTCCATTACTAGCCGATATATTTATGGAAGATTTTGAAACAAATATTATTTCTAAACAAAATTTAAAACCCACAGTGTAACGGGTAGCTCTTTCGGGACGACAGACTGATTAAAAAGCAGATTGAAATAAAAATATATCTATTAATTTAACGTATGTACAATAAAAATAAAAATGAATTCTCCGCCGTATATACAATAAATAAAACGAATCCTACGTCCCCGTCTGGATCCCGCGATGAAGGAATTCCCCGGCGAAAAGTTATTAATAACAAACAAATAAAATATGTGAATTCGATCGCACACAGACTTATACTCGCTTCCGCTTCAATACAGCGGAAGCTCCAAACGCACTCGCAAACTAAATATTCGGCTGTGCAGGCCCAAGGGTAAAGTAAAAGTTCAATACACAATACCGATGGGTTCTGTTTGGTTAAGGACGGAGTATGATCCTCAGTACGGAAATCTCTGTCCGGATTGGCTCGCAGGTTCAGTACACCGGTGAGCTGGGGAGCCTAGAGCGCTAGCTACAAGACTGACTAATTCCGCTACTCACATGCCTTAAATAGCCGCTCCAAATCCCACTTCGCCATCTCGCTGAGGAAGTGGATGCGCAAACATTGACACTCCACGGTTCAATTTGTTAAACGATCGGAACATCGTTACAACAATATGATGGAAATATGTAGATGATGTATTTTCAATACGGCTTCACGAATCAGAGTTGTTGGACACATTTCCAAATGATATAAACATAAACGATAAGGAAGAGACAATAACATTTACCATGGAAAAGGAACATACATAATAACACTCTTTCCTAGATGTTTTAATCTCTAAGAACGATACTGGATATGAGACTCAGGTGTATAGAAAACCAACAGATATCTAAATTACAAATAAAATCATAATAACAATATTAAAAAGGGAATCATTAAATCCTTATACGATAGAGCCAAAATTACTTGCTCTAATGAAAATTCGTTCTTAGAGGAAAGACATTAATTGTTAACATGTGTTTTATTAAAAAATGATTATCCTATATCGTTTATAAATAAGGAATTTTCAACAATCGACCGAATAGAACAGAACAACTTAGAACGAGATCCTACACAATGAATAATACGAGGAAAATAACAATACCATACATAAAAGAATTACCAGAAAAACTTAAAGATATAGGAAATAAATTCAACATTTCAACCACATTCAAAACAATAAACACATTGAGATCTAAAACTAAACCTAACAATGAACAAGAAAGAACAAATAATTGTATTTATAAAATACCTTGTGAATGCGATCAGTTTTATTTAGGTAAAACATCAAGGCCATTAAATATTAGAATAAGTGAACATCAATCTTATATTAAAATAGAGAATTTGATAGATCTCAAATATGTAAACATGCATGGGAAAATGAACATAGGGTTCAATGGAACGATTCAAGTATAGTCATAAAAGGAACAGATGGTAAAAAGAGAAAAATCAAATAAACGACTCTAATTATGCTAGATGAGACCAATTGTGTCGCAAATTCTTCGGCAGAGTGTAGTAGGATCTGGTTACCCATATTAAAAGAGGAAGTTAATAAAAGGAAAATACCACTATTAGTACGTCAGTAACATATCGAGAATACATAATTTATGTTTTTAAATAACATACATATAAAATCAGAATTTGATATTTATTGAGAGTAAACTAAATGTAAAACCAAATACTTACCATGTCGGGATAGTATTCTGAGGTTTTTTCCTCATGATTTACTATGGAATTACTAACATGAGAATTTTACTCTCATCATGGCATGTGGTTGTCTTTTTAAGGACGAATCACATGTTATGATTTTTCTGACGGATATTCTCAAGTTAAAGTTGATTTCATGTAATCGAATGAACCATCTTACAATAAAGTCTTCCCAGGAACGCAACTCAGCAACATTGGCAATTTCATTTTAAATTCGTCTACTTTAAAATGTATAATATATGTCTGAATTGTCAATATAAATAAGTCAAATAAAATTAAATTATTAGAATTTTCACCCAAGTAACAAAAAACAAAATTTGTTTAATTTATTAATGTTTGTATTTTGTAAGCGATTTCCAAAGTCTAAATTGAAACATTAAAATAGTAATTCCTTTAAGATGCTACAATAAAATAGCTCCAGAACAATAGTGTTATAATTGATGGGGTATTCTTTAATAAAAAAACCTTATTTCGTAAACGATTGTCTGAATTTGTTTCGTGTTTGTTATATTGGTTTTTATATATTACAATATAAAATATTTTTCAGAACTTTTTTGATGGAGTTCAGGCGAGAGTCGCTAGTGGAATAAAAGCTTCTGAAGTCAGTTATCAATTAGCATTCAGCAAACAAGAATTAAGAAAAGTTATTAACCAATATCCAGGATCACAGGTAGGACCTTAAAAGTACAAGCAGGCTAATAGGTCTTTTTTATCCAATATATTTACAAATATAAAATTTGTCATGCAACATGCTATATACTTTCTGTGGTTTTCCGGATTTGACTCCGTCTTAAATAATTTTGGTTTTAAGAGAAACCATTGTTTTGACGATGTTTCGGCAAGGTCTTTGCCAGCCAAAGTAAAATTCAAGCACCAGCAAGAAGCGTAGTTACCTGACAATGGCAAGGGTGGCCTTGCCGAAACGTCGTTAAAACCCGCACCCCGATGGGTGGGACCGAGCGATAACCGCGTAAGAATTCGCTTAAGTCTTGGTATAATTTCGTATATATGTATGTATATAAACTATTTTTAATTTGAATCGGAAGCTAAAAAGTAGCAATTTACACTAAAAATGTTAATGTTTATTAAAAACTTTACAAAGTTTTATTAAAAACTTTTACTATTAAAAAAGGATATATATATATATATATATATATATATATATATATATATATACATATATATATATATATTTACGGCATAAAGTGGACTCCGCCCATGTTAAAATTCAGGTTCAGGTGAGCTCCGTGGTCAAGTGGACACCGATATACGGAGCTCACTTGACCATTCCATAATATTGGCTCTGTCGATTCGTCAACATGTATAGTTTCATAATTTTTAAAAAAAATTTGGAGCCCATAATTATCCCTGTATCATAAATGTATATCGCTTAGTTCACGTGTATATATTATAGGGGTCGTTCAGATCTTTTTCACTGTATATTGGAACCATACGTATATCGGTTTAAGTAAGCTCTGATAGTTTGGCAACTCTGCTATAAGATGTATAATTCTCGCGTAAAGTCTGGACGTTTTATATGGACTCCTTAGTTTTGTTATCATTCATACGCATTACAGTGTGTAACAGATATGTATACTATTAACTACCTGTTTTTGGTAGGTACAAGTTCTCTAAAAATAGCTTTAGAGATACAAAAGGATTTCATTACCAAATTGGATTTTGTTTCATATGCGGAAATTTCCTAATGTATTTTGTTAACGTGAATATGTCTTCATAAGTTTTATTTAAGAATCCGATTAATAAGAACTTCTTTTATTTCATCCATTGTTTTATGATATCTTGTATACAGCTTTTTTATTATTTTATTTCTGGTTTTATCTATGTACTACATATAAGTTTGGATAAAAGGTTATCTCAAAATAAATATTTAAGTGCTAAAATAGATATTTTTGTGTAAAAATGGATAGTAGTGCACAAAAAAAGAAAGAATTTATCTAACAAGCATTATACTACTTCTCCAATATTACATACTTCTGAATGTTTTATTTTCTATTTAGGGTAATATGTTATCAATATAAGTGGAGTTAGTTTCAAATTTGCAATGATCTTTATAAGTAAAAGCTTACTGGCTATACTTAACATGTTTAGTTCAAATAAATAAACCTTGTCCCTTCAGAAAAGAGCGATTTGAATGGAAAAGTCAACTAAGAAAGTGTGATGAATCTTATACCACCCCACATTCACACAAGTTAACCGTGTTTGCAGGCAAGAGTCCTCCAGGCAAATTTAAGGAAGATAACAACCATAAGGAAGTTCCTTTCGAGGGTTGAGATGGCGAGAAGCAGCTTATATTTTTTTTTGTATATCTTGCAGATGTGATGATCTGATGACTGACTAATTTAGAGCTAAATATACTTACGTGTTAAGTATGTGTTTTTGTCACCCATACTAGCAAGGTATATTCGGCAGCATAAGCATAGAGTTTAAGTCTACGTTTTAAGGGTGGAAGAATGTGTTTCCTATTTTGAGCTGACAAGTTTGCGGAGAATATTATTTTTCTGGTTCTAGGTTGCCATTTAGTTTTAAACAAAGTTTTGTGATATAAACTATCTTCAAGGTATTTATAGCAAGTCCAGAGTTTAAGGATTTCATGACACTATTGGTTCAGGTATATCTTCAGATTTGTGAAAGCGTCTCTATTAGGGACATTTCCGGGGTTTGGCTTAAAATTGATTTATAATCTATTTTTATTATTTCTAATCCTATTCCTATTACTACTTAAAACTAAACGTTTGTCATCATTGTCCGGTTTATTTAGTAATTCTTCTTTCTCTACTCGTTGCTTGGCCTCTCCTTGGTTCTTTTTATGTTGCTCTGGTAGTTTTTTGAACACGCTATTTCCAACACCTTTTCTTCTTTATAGCACCATCTCCATTCCTTGCCGTCCACTGTGATTTTATTGTATCCTATTTTGACCATTTTTCCATTTTCCCTCATTTCTCTTGCTTTACCTCTTAAAGCTTCCATTTTCTCTCTCTCTTCTTTTGTGAGATCCTCTGTAATCCATATTTTTTCGATCTTCACATTCTTAAGTTTGTATTTGTTTGTATTTTGTCTTAAGATTGTTGTTTTTTTTCTTTGCTTTCAAGTTCAATTAAGCATGTTTTTGTTCCTATTTTTTGTGCTCTTTTAATATTGGTTTTGACTCCAAGATGATTTTCTAATATAGTAGGCATTCCCTCTTTCAATGTTTTTGGGTCTTCAGAGTCTATTTTTTATCCACTGATGATTATATTCTTTTTTCTTTGTCTAACCTTTCTAATGAGCGTTTTAGATCATTTAATTCTTCCGTTATCTTTTCGTTATCGGTTTTGGTTAGTTCGTTTTCTCTTTTCAGTTCTTCTTTCTCTTTTGTCCATTCTTCCTTCACCCTTTCTATTTCCAGTTTTATGCTTTTTATTTCTTCGTTATTTTGTTTTATCTCTTCTTTAACTTCATTTATATATCTTCTCATCTCCTTATTTTCTTCCTTCATTTCTGTTTTCAGCTCTTTTATTTCCGTTTTATTCTCCTTATTTATTTCTTCTAGTAGTTTCTTTAGTTCTAGTAGTTCTTCCATTTCGCGATTTTTTATGTTATCCTTTGGAGATGTTCTTAACGTGGCTTTGCTTCTTTTGAAGGCTTCCTCCTCGTCGAATGAGTTATCGTGTTCTGGCTTATTTCTTTTGCTGTTCATTCGATTTAGTTATTGTATTACATTTACTTTTAATTTATTATTTTAATTTAATTTAATTCTAATCCCAACTTTAATCAAATCTATTTTAAGGCCAGATCTGGATTTTTGTAATAAAATTATGTGGCTTTTATTTTAATCATTAATTTCTTGTCAGCACTAATTACTTTCTTATCTGCCAAAAAAAAACAAAAACAAAAAACGCGTAGGAATGCCTAAGCAGGTCGACCCTTCGAACATTCGCCAAAACCACTTTTTTAATCTTTCACTCAATTATTCATTTACTTAAGACTTGTTAAAATTATTAAAATAGTTCTATCTTACTTGTCTGATGGTATTTTCTTTATTAACTACTATCACCTGTATGCACTTAACTTTTGATACTTATTTTTGAACTCGGTTGAATTTTCTAACTTATAATTCCCGAATAATTTTAAGTTTATTACGAAGCGAAATTAAATGAACCTACTGTTGTCACTTGGAGGACCGTTTCAAATAGTCAAAAAATTAATAAACTGCCTACTAAAATAGAAATATCGCCTATTTAAGACGTAATCCATTACCGGCCCAAGGTACAAAGCACTCCTAGCATATGCTAATGATATAGATCTCATAAGAAACTCTCTCGTCCGCAAACATCTTCAATAAAGTGAAGAGAGCACGAAAAATTTTTCACTTAAAATCAACTAAATGAAAACCAGATACAAGCGAATCAACAAAAGAGACCAATTCAATAAATCTAGATAAAATATTAAAGTTAACAATCACAATTTCCAAAATATGGAACACTTTAAATATCTTATAAGATAAATTATCACGGTTAATAATAATGCCACTAAAAAATACAGAGAATAATTCAAACTTTAGACCTATTTTAATACATGGATACGAATCATGGACAATGAGTAAAATAAGTCAGGAAGAATTACGAATATTTGAAAGAAAAATAATAAACATTTTTTAACCTCATTATCATATCGCTCCAAATCTGTATAGAATAAGAACACATACTAAATAAAGAAAGCTCTTATAACGATATTGTTCCGGAAAATAAATCCCTTAAGGTAGATCGGACACATGCATAGACGCCAAGATGTCAAACTTATAAAACTGGTATGGAAGGAAGTTAGCAAAGAAAAATGTCATATCTAAAAAAAATAACATTTCAGTTGATTACAGATTCGTGGAAAATCGATCAACTTAGCTCGAGCGCTACGTTATGATAATGATAAAGACAAAGGAGAAACAGTGACAAAAAGCAACAAACATGGACTAATGAAGTGAAGCTGCTTTAAAATCTTGATTGGAGAGGATTAAAATGAAAGTAGAAGAAATACAATGTACTTTCTTAGCAGTGTACTTTTACCTCTTTCAATAAAGTATGTTTATATGGACTTCTTATTTTTGTTATCATTCATACGCATTACAGTGTGTAACAGATATGTATACTAATGACTACCTGTTTTTGGTAGGTACGTGCTTCTCTAAAAATAGCTTTATAGATACAAAAGGATTTCATTACCAAATTGGATTTTGTTTCATATGCGGAAATTTCCTAATGTATTTTGTTAACGTGAGTATGTCTTTATACGGTTTATTTAAAGGTGGGTACACATTATGCTCCGAATGCCGTTTCGAACCCCGTCACGTTCTTAAGTGTGGACGGAGTCATGCAACCGCGTACCGTACCTCGACGCGTCAACAACGTACATCGAAGCGATCCATCGGTTGTCGGTAAAATACCTACGCATCAAAAGAAATTTGAGCGCGGCAATGTACACCGCGAATTCATGTTTGGACTAGCTTGCGAATCTTTTATCGAATCTCCAGTCATTCAAAATAGTCAGTCTGTTATTTTGAAGGTTGACGGTGTTTTTAAAGTTGAGTGCATCAAAATGGAATGGACCATCTCCTTTCACGAATATTTTTCGTTTTATTAACTGAATAATGCATAAGAATGTAGGCTGCTGCAGCAA